CCCCCCCCCCCCCGCACCCGGTCCCCCTTTGGGAACCACTGGGCTCTACAAACTGACACGGAAAGATGCATTAAGTGAAAAAAGCAAGTTGCAAGGTAGGACCGAGCATGATCCCATTTTAAAGAAGGGGACTTCTGCAGGGGACACGGGGGTGCGTGAGGACTGAGGCCCCTCGTGCTGCTCAAAGCAGGGGGACTCGGGGACGCTCCATCGTTCAACAGTCCAGGGTTGGACTGTTAGATACCCCACTTCGTGGTCATTATATATGAGACGTCAGACCAGTTAAGGAGTGAGCAGGGGACACGTTCTGTTAAGTGGTGGGGGAACAGCATCTACCGTCTGATCTCAAGTGGCTTTTTGAAAAGTTATTAACAAGAGATTCACCCAAATGCTAGCAGCAGTCATCTGAGTGGTGGGATCGTGGGAGATGTTTCTTTTCTTTGAACTTGTCTGGGCGTTCGAAACTTTCTCTGAGTATCTAGTGTTCGGTAAGAGTCCGGGGTGGAGACTGACCGGTGGGGTGTTGGATATTCACGCCGACCCTCCCCTCGGCCCCGCCCCGCCCAGCTGAACAAGGCGTTCCAGGCCGAGGAGTCGCCCAGTGTCATCTACTGCATCAGCATGCAGTGGTTCCGGGAGTGGGAGGCCTTCGTCAAGGGCAAGGACAGCGGTGAGTGAGTCAGATGGCACGTGCCCGCCACTGCCCACACCAGGGGGGGCCTGGGGCTGCTGACCTGCTGGGAGCGTCCCAGGAGGCGGAGGTGGGGCGCCCAGGATCTGTGCCCACCCAGCAGGTTTTTGGTGTCACCCCTTCAGGCACGCACCCCCTGGGCAGGAGCACAGAGCGTGGGTGCCCCCCTGCCCCGCCCCTCCCCACCGAGTGCTGGGATCGCCGTCCTCACCCTCGCCAGGCCTTCTCACTGCAGCAGGACAGAAGCCATCTGGCTCTGCCCCTTCCCTCCGTTACCCTCTGTCTGCAGGTGCCCAGGGGTGGCTGCTCTTCCCTCCTGCCAGGCCCTTTCCCTTGGGGACTCTGTTGGCCTAAATAATAGATTTTAGTTGACAGATGGCTTCAGACTCTTAGGAAAGGACTTGGACACCATGTCCTCTGATCGCTCGATTTACAGAGGTGGAAACAGGCCCCACCAGAGGGCTGCTCCCAGAGTCCGTCACGGTCCCCGGCAGGGAACAGCTGAGCCTGAGCCGCAGCCTGCATGTGGCCACCCTCACCGCCCCCGAGTCCCAGACTCCGCTCCCAGGCCAGGCTTCGGAGCCTGGCGGGGTCAGCAGAGCCAGGAGCTTCCGCGCCCTGGACATCTGCCCTTTGCAGCATAAGCACCAGGATGCGGGAAGGGGGAGGGGCCTCCCTGGTGGCTGCGCTGGGTCAAGACCCCGGCTCCAGAGTCGCAGCCCCACCTCGGGCCCCGGCTCTGCCTTCTGCCAGCGCTGAGCTGGGCGGTCACGTCGCCTGCCTCACCTCACCCAGTTGTTGATGGTTGAGCTAGTGGGGTGCATGGGAAGGGTGCTCAGCAAGCACAGCCGCCATCAGATTAGGACAATGTCCACCCGGCACTGGACATCTACCCCACCCCCTCCACCCCCCCACTCCATGCTAAGGTCTGAAACTAAGGTGCGAGTCCTCAGAACTCCCTCTGCTGGGTCCAGGGATGCCACAGTCCCTTCTGGCTCTCACACTCGTGGAGATGAGCATTTGGTGCCCTAAGCGCCTCAGCCCGTAAGAGCTTCACGCTGACCCCTTGGGCCCAGGACAGCCTCTCCGGGATCACAGGTGTCGGTGGCATACTTTGGGAATGGCTCGTATCTGTTGAGGGGTGGAAGGCTGTGGCGGAGGAGGGGACTGGGCTTTCTTCCCGTTGCTGCAGAGGCACTGAGCCTGAGCCCTGTCTGTTCCAGAGCCCCCCGGTCCCATTGACAACAGCAGGATAGCACAAGTCAAAGGAAGTGGCCACATCCAACTGAAGCAGGGTGAGAGTCTCACCAGCCCCAGCCCTGGCCTCCCAAGCCAGCCCGGCTCCCCTCTGCCCCTCCTGGCTTGCAGGTCTCACCGGGCACCCCCTTGCCACCTGTCTGGGTCAGGTTGTGACATCTGTCCGTGTCCAGGTCCAAGACTCGAGCAGATGGGCCAAGGTGCTTGGCCTCTGTGTGGTTCCCACAGCCCCTCTGCCCCTACACACGCCTTCTCGCCACTCCACCACCTCACCTGCCTGCCCTTTTGCGTGAACCTCACCCCCTGGGAAATGAGGGGCTGCAGCCATCGTAGTGCCCTCTAGGGTCCTCAGAGAATGGACGTTCCCCTGGAAGATCCCAAGATTCCCACTTACAGCTTTGCACGGAAGCGCATGGTTGCCCTCCGTCCGCACTGGGGCCTGGCCCTCCCAGACCCCCCACTGCCAAGACGGTGGCTTCAGCGAGGGGGCGAGGGCGAGCCCAGCCTGACCGGTAGCCTCTCGGGCCCTGCAGGAGCTGACTACGGGCAGATCTCAGAGGAGACCTGGGTGTACCTGAATAACCTGTATGGCGGCGGCCCCGAGATCGCCCTCCGCCAGAGTGTGGCCCAGCTCCAGGACCCGGAGAGCTTGCACGGGGAGCAGAAAATCGAAGCCGAGACCCGGGCCGTGTGACCCGGTGGGCCAGTCTGTAAGTTCTCTTCTCCCTCCGTGGAGACCCTCTCATGTCCCTCATGTGTTGGAAGAGTGCTCTGCACACACCTGCCCTGAGGCTGCTTGGAAGGACCTTCACGAGGCCTCCGCCGGCTGATGACCCGGGTGTCCCCACAGGCCCCCGCCTTTGCCCTCCTCCCTGCGGAGGGGGCGTCTGTACCCGGAAGCGAGGCCGGCCGCTCTGGAAACCCAGATGTGTAAAGAGGCAGAAAAGTTGTTTTGGTTCACAGTGAGTAATGCTGCAACTAGGAAATATATCCACTTCAGACTTGTTAAACGACCAAGGCTCTGCGACGTTAACTCGGGTCTTTGTCTCGGCAGTGCCCTCGTGTCACTGCCATCGTTGTGTCCCCAAACCTGCCCTCTTGCTAGCTCGGGCCCAGCTTTTGTCCCTGGACCCTCAGTCAGGGGCCATGGCCTTGGCACAGAGGGTCGGGGAGCGGCTGCCGCTCCGCAGGCGTTTCCCACTGGCTCCTGGTCCAGCGCCCGAGTCACGGGTCGACGGTCAGAGCCGCGAGCAGGTGCCGAGCCCTCGGCAGTGAGGGCGCTGCCGCTGGTCCCTGGGCCAGGTCCTCCCGAGGCCCCGCTTCGCCCCCACGCCTCCCGGTCGTCAGGGAAGTCTGAATGCTGGGCGGCTCTCGATGTTTTTCATGCAGACTGATGACACCGGACACGTTTGCGATTGGGACCCGTGGGCGGGGTTGGCTTTCTGTCAGTGGGGCTCATTTCTGGAGGCAGCTGGTCCTCTCGCACGCTGTGCTGCTGAGCTGGCCCTGTGGATTGGCTGTCATTTGCCCCTGCCAGGGACCCAGGTGATGAAACAGAAATACCTCGCACTGCTATGCTGCTGCAGCTTCCCCGGGGGGCTGACATCTCTCCCCGACACTGAGCTGCACGGGACCCCTGGGCCGGCTCATGCGCGTGGGTCCCGGAAGTGCGTCTTCCGGATGCTGAGCGAGGCCACTGCTGGGGGGCTGGGACCTCCAAGCACAGTGAGGTGGCACTGAAGCCCCTGGACGAAACGGCCGTGGCCAGTGCTCAGCTCGTCAGGGCCAAAGCGAATGGGGGATGGGAAAGGGGTCCCGGGACCAAACCCCTCAGATACTGTGGCCCTCAGCCTCCATAGAAGCAGATGTTGGTGGAACTTGCAGCAGGCGGTTCTGGCGGAGCCCCTGAAGCTCTCACGTGTCACTCACTTCTGTGATCTCGTTTCACCCGGATCTGTTTTCTTCTCCACCGAGGCAGCATAAGATCAAAGAACAAGCCACTCTTGGAATTTCTGGACATTTGCCACAGTCCTTTGGAAGTTGCTGCCGCTGCCAGCGGCGACCCCCCTGCAGAGCCCGGCGGTTGCATGTTGCACTGTTTGTGACGTAGACTCCGCTGTGCAGGTTGTAATCTCGCCCCACGTCTGCGCCGTCCAGTTTGTGCTCCGAATGTCATAATAAATATGTAACGTTCCCCACAGCCCGTGCTCTCGTCTCTGCACCCGCCGCAGTTAATTCTGTTACTGGAGGGAGAGGGGAGCTGGCTGCCGTGGGGGAGGGTCATGGGGGAGGGCGGTGGAGCCATGGTGATTAATGTTTGACCTTTCTAAGAAAAAAGGATTCTTATTCTAAGCTTTTGCTTTTTCGTTTTGTAACATACAAAAAGAATCTGCCAGAAAAACTTAACGTGCGTTAGATTTTTTAAAATGTAGATAGAAACCATATTGCTAATGCTCAAATGAGCATGCTCCCCTTTTGGCTTTCAGAGTGATAGAGATCCTTACAAGTGTGCAGGCCCTGCAGTTGAAGGTGATTGGCTTCCTTTACAGACCCCTTATTCTAGAAGGGCTTTTTACTTGAATAAAACAATGTAACTTAGCAAACCAGTTCATGGCCTTAGAGAAATGCGTTTGCATGAATTCTTGCAAACTGCTTCTTACATTTTCTGGAATGAAAAGTGAGAATTTATTTTAAAAAGATGTGCTTTTTTTAATATATATAAATTTATTTATTTATTTATCTTTGGCTGCATCATTGTGTCTTCGTTGCTGCGCACGGACTTTCTCTAGTTGTGGCGAGCGGGGGCTACTCTTCGTTGCAGTGCACGGCCTTCTCATTGCAGTGGCTTCTCTTGTTGCGGAGCACGGGCTCTAGGAGCGAGGGCTCAGTAGTTGTGGCACACGGGCTTGGTTGTTCGGCAGCATGTGGGATCTTCCCGGACCAGGGCTCGAACCTCTGTCCCCTGCACTGGCAGGCAGATTCTTTTTTTGTTGTTTTTTTTATAAATTTATTTATGTATTTTTGGCTGTGTTGGGTCTTCGTTTCTGTGCGAGGGCTTTCTCCACTTGCGGCGAGCGGGGGCCACTCTTCATCGCGGTGCACGGGCCTCTCACTGTCGTGGCCTCTCTTGCTGCGGAGCACGGGCTCCAGACGCGCAGGCTCAGTAGTTGCGGCTGACGGGCTTAGTTGCTCCGCGGCATGTGGGATCTTCCCAGACCAGGGCTCGAACCCGTGTCCCCTGCATTGGCAGGCAGATTCCCAACCACTGCGCCACCAGGGAAGCCCCAAAAGATGTGCTATTAAAAAAACCTGATAAAACAGCTTTTTGAGCCTATATATTTAAAAAACAAAAAAAGAGTGTGTACTGTAACTCTTTTGAGTTCCTGTATGCAGCTTTCTTCACATGGAGCTTATCTACTCCATGCCTACGTTTCCCAGTGATTCACTGTACTGTGACATGGTACACATTGGGTTCAGAAACCGGTTTTTATTTCTCCCACTTCCTGTTTTATCAAGATTTTGTTGTTGTTGTTCAGCTTGAATTATAACACCATCATTTGAATAGACGTAATTCAGAAAAACTCCTTGACGTGTTCTAGCCTTAAAGGTCCTGCGTACATTTTAAACACATCTTAACTATTAGCTAGGTTACTGTACTGGAGACTGTTCAGTGCTTTGCTTTTAGGGAAACAAATGTTGAATCTCACATTTTTATAAGGTAACAGTATAATTAAAAGGTGTAAATGTCTTCATCTCTTAGGCTTGCTTTCTCCTAAGGCTGCCCAAGCAGTGGTTGGTTTTTATTCACATTACTACAGAAATAATACTGAAGTTGGATAAGACCTTTCTATGTTCATGTCTTTCTTGGGGCTAGCAGCCCTGATACAGTATTAAACCACTTGTGTTTAAGAGTAAAAACAGTATATGCAGTTTTCACTGAACTTAAAAATGGAAATCATGTCACCCTATTGTAATCTGTTGGTGCCTTTTTAGAATGTAGTTTAATCATGACAGACCTTGATGTTTATTTCTTATTTAAACCCTCCTCTTTACACTTAAGCATTTTTAGAAGGGTCAGATTTCTTGTTATCTTATATGGAACTATGTATAGTACAACCCAGTGATGTCAGACAAGAATTAATATTTCACTCTATTTCAAATGCTTATAAAGCTTTTATTGTGAGTTAGATTTTGCAGATGCAAAGTTTACAGCCTTCTGGTACTGAAAACCAGACACACAGAACAATGTTACAGACGATGAAGATAAAGAGTATGTTTTCTTTGCAGAGCTTTGAAAAAAAAATCACTTAAACTCTTACTACTGAATAGAGTAAGCCTGGAATCCTATTTATATTCCAGGGAAAAGAAAGTCTGCATTTGTTTCATGGCTTAAAGCATCTGGTTTATACATATTACATTGCAGTAGTGATATTGAAAAATTGTCTCTTGCCTAACGTTTTTACTGTCCTATGAACAGGAATTAAGTTTTAAAGTACTGCTTGAAGATGGCTGTGCTAACTAATGTCAGTGCAGGAGCAATATTTTTACCTGTTTCTAGATGACAGTTTTACTAAAATTTCTAAAATGAAGGCATTTGTTTAGTCTCAGTTACTTAAGAAAAATATAAATTGTAAAAAGGACTCAGATAAATCGTGAACTCAGAGAAACTTTCAGATCGTCATTGTTCAGAAGCCAAATAAATACAATGGACCATCAAAAAAAAAAAATTAATGTGACAAATGACCAGACACCCCCGGGGGCTTTGCATGGCTCCCCGAGAGTCAGCGCATCCAGAGGCTTCAGGAGGAAGTGGAGGCCGAGCTGCTTTAAACACCCATCGGCCTGTGTCTTTCCTTTCCTGGAACCAGCCCCGGCCCCAGAGAAGGGGGGCCAGATGTGCTCAGGGGATAAGGCCAGCACAGCCCACAGGCCGCTCCCCTCCTGGCATCACACCACGGACTTGGTGCCTCCCGGCTGCTCAGAGCAGCCTCAGAGCAGGGGTTCCCCTCCCTGGACCCTACAAGGGCTGCACTGGGGGTGCCCTTTCCCTTTCCTCCCCTGACGGCTGATGTTGGCACCTCCGCCACAGCATCGTGGTTGCTGGTGTCTGGCATTGGGAGCTCCCTCACATTTAGTGATGCTATAGTGGTTTATAGTCTCTGTGGTTTTGGTTGGTTCTGTTTATGCTTTGGGGGTTTGGAGGGGAGAGGAGAACCTGAGATTTTATGTATGACTTTAAACATTCGCTTGTGGGCTTCCCTGGTGGCGCAGTGGTTGAGAGTCCGCCTGCCGATGCGGGGGACGCGGGTTCGTGCCCCGGTCCGGGAGGATCCCACGTGCCGCGGAGCGGCTGGGCCCGTGAGCCACGGCCGCTGAGCCTGCGCGTCCGGAGCCTGTGCTCCGCAACGGGAGAGGCCACAGCAGTGAGAGGCCCGCGCGTACCGCCAAACATAAATAAATAAATAAAATAAACATTGGCCTGTGAAATCCCATCAGACATGCATGTGCAGAAACAGGCTCAACACAGAGTGATAAAACAGGTGACAGATACCCGCCCCCAGGTAGGACTGCTAGCAGTTCCACTGAAGCCCCTTCGGGGCCTCCTGATCACTGACCCCCGCCCACCCCAGAGGGAGCTCCTTCCCTGCGTTTCTTTCAGCCCTCACTTTTCTTTATAGTTTCAACACATACGTG